GCTCTGTCCTCACAATTATATTTCAGGTAGTGGGACATACGAAGTGTTAAAATAAGATTAAAAAACTTATGATTGCATTTATTACGTCTTTGCTATAAAACATATCTAACAGCTACTGTACCACATATTCAAGACCATATGATCCTTCTAAAAGTATTGTTACTTTCAGGTTTATATTCATTAGGTTTGGACTGTTAAATTATTTTAGACTTTCTTTATTTTTGAATGAAACCATAAGGTAGAACCTTTACACATATATCCTGAAGCCTACAGAGGGGTTCTAGAGAAGAAGTAACATCACTAACATCATGACAGGAAAGAGAAGTGATACCTGAATAACACATGCAAGTGTTAGAGCTATTAAAAACACCATTCTCGCTTTTGAGTTTCATATTCTCTCACTTCTTGGCTTTTTTACTTGAAAATGTTTTGGGATGGCTTGATTTTGTGGGCTTTTGGGTTTTTTAAAATAAATTTAAAGGCCAAAAAAGTAAGTAAAACACTACTGGATTTCAGTTATCTGTCTTCAGGGCATCAATTATGAATGAGCCTAACTTTGATCAGGTGACTGTGTGCATTAATGGAATGAACATGATGAAGCAATAAAATGTTATGTATGACATTTCTACTCAAGTTGAAAGGACTATAAGAGTGAATTTTGTACTTCTGTAAAAAGCCAACCTTAATGAGGTTGATTTGTACTGTGGATGGCCAAGGAAGAGATGGTACTTCTCTGTACTCTATTTGGAGATCCTCAATGAAATGCCAAATAAAATCTAAGTATTTAAACTCTGTGGGAACAGCTCATTTGTAATAGCTTTCTCCTTTGTGAATTCAAAGTTCTAATTTAATATTTTAGTGATAAACATCCTGGAGTTCTTGAAACATCTGTGACTCTAAAGAATTTATAATTTCTCTTCCTCTCTACAGTCTCTTAGATATGGTAATATTTGCATGTTCATATCTAGGATTGATTGAGTGGGATACACCAAAAAAAAAAAAACTAACAACCTGAGCTAGTAGAGCAGCCTAATGAAGTAATCTATCATTATTACTAACATATTCATCCCTTTCAAACAAATTTTTAGCAGCTCTTGTTTTCTACATAGAACATGAATTCCTCACTCCTCACCTTTCAGGCTTCTCAGAATTGAGTCTCCACTTATATTGCCTCTGTAACCTCCATTAATTTTCCTTTCACAGTTGTATTTCACTGTTCATCTAACACTTTTCCCCTTATTTATTTTCATTTTATTCCACATTTACTCCATAGCTCACAATCCAACTTACTTCACTTGTTCCCCTCTCTTTTGAAGTACATAGCTTAGTACTGAACAGGATTTGCCCTATTTTATATCTGCCACCTTTGGAAAGCAAAAAGTAAGATGCTAAGCATTGAGAGGCAAGCCTGCCTCCAGCAGAATCAAGAGAAACTCCCTGCTGTGTTATGAATTCAAGATCTCACAGATTATACTTTCTCTTATGGTCTGTAGTATCTTCTTTCTCCAAGGACTATCCTGTCAAGTCTACTACCAAAGGAGTCTGCAGCAAAACTGAGAGAGAAGTAGAACAGGAGGCTACTATTCTAAATACTAAAATACAAGTATTCAGGGGTTTACCTGACAAGAATTCTGGGGATTCCTCCAAGCTGCACTCAGAGGAATAATCAAAATCTCATTAACTGCTGTCCCATTTCCTTGGCCTCTCCTATGCAGACAGAACTGCTTCTTGTAAGATATCCAGTGGCAAGTTCCTTTAGTTGAATCGTACAACATTGCAGAGACCAACATGCTTACTGTTATATGGGTTTAACTCTGTATGAATACATACACTTATCTACAAAAGGAATTTATTGAAGAGACTTTTTTTCTTTTTAAACACACGAATTTCTGTGTGTATCTGGGGTTTTCCACACTGAAAGTAATTCATTCAGGATTTTTGCACTTGAAATCCTTCCATTTTGGCTTACATGAGGAACAGCAGGCAGAGGATGAAAAAATCTTAGGCTAGAATCAAACAGAACAATTAACAGGCCTATTTGTTGGCCTAATTTAAGCATCTGTTTAATTTTCTGAACTCTCTTTATGCCATACAAGAGTTTGAATAAAAATGCTGATGAGTCCCAAATTCAAAGCTTGGAGTCAGTAAACAATCTCAGATACTAAAAATGAAAGGTTATGCTTAATTTTTAAACACAGTAACTCATGCAATCCAGATAAAATGGAACTGTAGAAAACAAATTTCTTTTTCACTTGACTGTAATGTTTTGGATATTAGATTTTTGCCAAAGGTTTTGTTAAGACTAGAAAATTATTTCAATAGATCTTGAGTGGGAAGGGCACAGTGTTCAGTAACACAACAGCAAAGTTTAAGATTTTAGTCACAATTGATTGAAAACCCTCTTTGGTCTTGGTTCACAAACGAGAACTGGTATTAAGCATGTCTCCGCTGGTTTTTAGTAAGAAATTTCAGAGAAATTGGAGCACAGAATTCCATAAAGGAGATGAGAAAGGTAAGAAAGTGCAGAATCAGTTCTTAACATCAGCACAGAGTTGAACAAACCCAATTCCTGACACACCAGACCTAGAAAAAAATCCACCCCTTGTGTTTCTTAGTGCATGATACTAGAAACAAAAATCTGTGAGGTAAATTTCAGCTACCAGGCTCACCTTGAAAAAAGCATGATAAGGAAGGAAGCAGAGCAGGGTAAACATGAGAAAAACTACAAGCAAATAAAGACCTGAGGAGGGTGGTAGATGCTAGAATACATAACCAGTTGCATGTTCAAGAAAGTTTTGCTTGTTTTCCTGATTTACAATCAAAACTCAATTACTTATGACCTGCAACCAGATCCATAAATCTAATGAAGCATCTGTGCACTGGATACCAAGACACACAAAAAATATCTTGCTACAAGCTGCTATCTGGAGCCACTGTCACAAAGGTTGACACCAACATTACATGCTCCATCTCTAAACTGTACTGGCAACTCTGCCCACTCTTCCAGGCCCAGCATAGAAAGATATTATAGAAGCACAGTTTTTTATTTAATCTTTTTTAGCATGCATTCTGACTAATAATAGTCAAAATTAACTTAAAAAATGAAGCCTGTATCAAATCATTCATGGCTGTATTCACACTGCTCCAGCATGCTGTGGCATGGTCACACTAAGCTTGGATCCAGCATTCAGCCTGTGGTTTTCCAGGCAAAACATAAGGGTATGTGTGCTCTAATGGCAAGGCAAATGACAGATCCTTCTTACTGCAAGTATATGGTGTAAGACCACCACTGATCTCATAGTGGTTGTGTACACCAGAACACTGGTCTTACATTGTGCTTTGAAAAGTGTTTATACTTTGCATTGACAAAAATGGCTTTTCTGATTCCTGATTTGGTTCCAGCAGCAACCAAACCCTTACTGTCTAAGGGCTTCATGTTTTTCTAAACACTTAAGTAGTGTAATACAAAGAATATTTACCTTGCTATTTACAGCCAACACACCACTCAGTGGGGTGTGGCCTTTATGTGACACATTTAGCACAAAAGGCTTAATTTACTCATTTTTGAGCTGTGTCCAATATGCATGAGACAGGAATAGAAAAATCTGCTCTAAAGCAAGATCCTCTAACTCAGCTGTGCTTTCCTGAGATTATGTGAGGACTACTAATGCCAAGTATTCTCTTTAAACCTTTTATCTCTCTGTAACACTAAACATTTTCAAATCTCCATGCATATATATACACACGCACACAGGTAAAGGGCATTAAATAGCAGTAGATATTTGTAAGCACTAAGTACTGAACAAAATCAGAGAGCAGATGACTGAAAACTGCTCATGAGCATGTTATCAGCTGTTATTAGAGCAAAAAACAAATTCACATAATTCATATAATTCACATCCTGACAAAAAGCAGTGATATGCCTCCTATTCCTCCTTTAGTGATCCGGCTACCATACAAAGTTCTGGCATTCCAGCATCAGATAGAAACTGATTATGGAAAATTAAAAGACAAAAAGCACAAAGCTTAAAAGATTAAAACAAACTACAAAACCTTTTCAATTTAGTAGGGAATATTAATTATCAAAAAGTGTCCACAATAAAAAGTGAAATCAAATAATAAAATAATTACAAGGAGGAGTACTCATATTAAAATATGTAGCAAAGAATTAAAGGATGCTACTATGAAGAAATTTAACACTCAGAAAACCTGTATCTTAGAAAAAAAATCATCTATAAATTTTGAACGCACTGATATGCCCTATCTTTTCAAGACCTGCCTAATAAATAGCATCTTGAATTTACCCTTTTTCTTTGGTTAAAATTTAATCTGCAAGGCTCAAACTAGACATCTGTGGCTAGAAATGAATGCTTAAAACTTATTATATGTCCTGCATCTGGTCAGGAAGCAGTGGGAGCATGTCATATACCCACATCCATAAAGCACCAAACTTGCAAATACATCATGGACAAATTTAACTTCCTCTTAAATAACAGAAAGGGGAACAAACTTCTGTAATAACCTCTTGCTGTATTGTAGCTCTCCTTGTCTTGACTTATACAACAGATAAAGAGTAGTTACACAGGCATCATGTAACATAATGAATTCTTATCCTTATGAAACAATAAATTACTCACACTAAATCAGTCGAGTGAAGACTAAAAAAGAAAAACTTACATGCAACATCAAATTTATATCCCAAAAGATTCAAATTCCAAGTATTATACCTTTGTGCAACAAAGGCTTTAGATGGGGGCAGGTGGGGAAAAACACATTCAAGCAGTACACAGGCTGTGACTCCATACGTGTTTGCAGGACTTTAATATATGTTTTAATCTATGAAACATCTGGGACTAAAAATCCAATTTATACCTTTTTTTAAAGATGGAATACTTTTAAGGCATATAGCATAGTTTCTTCAATATAAATCTGCACAAAACTAACAGCATGGGTCTATCCTTTAGGCTTTTTCTAGAAGTATAAAATATGCAGAATCCTACCAGGCCATATTGCCATGGGCTGTGTTGTCAAGGTGACAGAGTAGCTCCAGGGTTTGAGTGTTGCTTGATGAATCATCAGGGGATTCATGACTGCCTGATTCCAATTCCTTCGGCATCCTCCAAACAGCAGCACATGTCATGACTTTAGTGTCTGAAGCTAAGCAACAGAGAATAATGTCAACAGATCATTGTATGGGAGATGCATTTTGTACACACTGCACCAACATTTACACAAATCTATAAGCAATGCACATCTGCTGTTTGAAATATTTAAAAATCTTATACCAAGATGAATTCAAAGAATGCAGAATGTGGCTACAGAGGCAGACCTCAAGTTAGCAGACAAGGTGCTGCAGAACTCATAATTAGCATGTATTTGACATATGTCTTCCTGAACAAAAGCAAAATTAGGTGCTTATGAAAACTCTTTGGGACGCATGTTTTCCAAGTTTCATTTCCCATACTGATGTTAATGAATATGACAAGTTACATTGCTTGATTCCTTAACAGTAAAGATACAGACATCATTTAAACACTTCTAACAGCTATCTATCTCCAGTTTAATCCAGAGCGTTATCTCATATCCTTTACTACCAGCAACTGTTTATTGCAAAATTAGGTTTCCCAAGTAAGTATATGCCTCTAATCCCAGCAAATAAAAATGGCTTCCAAAAGAAACACTGAACTTTCATGCATATAGCAAAGTATTACAATGTATGAAGAACAAGGCAACTGTAGATTGAGGAGAAAATACCATATGATCTGTGCACATATGGCAGTGCCCATCACCCAATATAGCAATTTGTAGCCGTGCAGAATGGGAGGAGACCAGAGCAGCAGTGCATATGTTCACACTGCTCCAGCCACTGGTCCAGGGTTCAGTGAGGATGAACGGGTGCATGCGATCCACTCCAGTGGGAACAAAGGAACCAGCCACGGCCACGGCGAGCAAAAGCAGGGGGAGCAACTGCTGGCTGCAGGATGAGCTACATGAGGAGTCCAGAGGATAAGCAGCCAGAAATGATACATCTTCTCTTCTGAGGTCATTTTACAGGCCTCTATCTCCAAGTACATTTTAGCTGATTTTAGTCAAGAGCGTCTGATTACAGAGCCGTGAGCAAACGCGACCAACTTCATCAGTGGAAAGGAAAGTGGCAGCAGCTGCATGTAATGAGAGTGTTTTCAAGAGGAAGCAAGGACACTGAAAAGGCCTTCTCAGGCTAAAATGATACTAACAGAGGAAAAAACCATGTATTATAAAGGTCACCTATCTAGATATTCTATATGGAAAAAGAGGCAGCCAAACAACACAGAATAGGACAAAAAGTAACGGATACATAGTAAGTCCTGAATACAAGAATGAAGAAATGTTTAAAATGCAGTCATATGAAATTTAAAAAAAAAGGTCGTTATGTGAAACCTGGAGGGGAAAAAAGGCCATTTCTGCAACAGGAAACAGGGATAGGAGGAAGACTTTATATGAATTCAGAACACACAATCACTGGATATTTGATAGATTGTGCTGAGCACAAATTGTGTGTATGATGCACATAACTGCTCTACAGTTATTTGGATATACAAGTTGAATACAGTAAAAGGAGACCATACATCTAAAGATGATAGAAAATCCCTTATTTATTAACACTTAATTGAACTTTTTCTAATTGTAGAGCATGCTAACTAAACAGCTATTTCTGAATCATTCCAGGCAAATTGTTTACTCTAGATCCACATGCCACTGAGGAAGAGAAGAAAGCAGCAGTGGAGGATGGCTACCTTTCCTTAGCAAAGGGCAAACCAACACACAGTGTGCTTTGTACACCATGCAAGTAATAAATAACTTAAAGTGCAATATAGCTAAAGAAGGGGAGACTTATCAAACGTTTCACTTCAATGTGACAGACCAGTAATGAACAGTTTCTGGTAGATTATAACTACAAAAAGGTCTGTACCATGCATATAAAGCATTAGCTTTTCCACTATTATCAAGATCATGGCAGAGAATCACAAAAGCAAGTCATGGAAAACAAACTACATGCTCCTCAAGCCATCTTTCCTCTCCAGCACAGCACTGCAAGTCTTAAGAGAACTTTAAAACGTCACGAAGAAACTTAATATTTAGGAAACAGATTAAAAAAAAAATAGTCTGCACAAAAAACACTTTTCAATACACTGATAGGTTCTATCTTCCCCGAGAATTACCTAATAGATATTATCTTTTTCTTTTTAGTTGAAATTTAACCTACAAGGTTTCAACTAGTAATCAGTGGTGAGCCCAATTCTTAAAATTTATGGTACAATCTAGGACATAATTAAAAATTATGAACTAACTGTCACTTCTGAAGTAGTTTGGGGAGGAGGGGTGTAGTTTGGGTTTGCTTGGTTTGGAGGTTTGGTGGGTTTTTTAATGTTTTTGGGGGTGGTTTTTTGTTGCTGCATTTTAGAAGATAGCTAACAAATAGAAATTTTTATGCAGCCAGATTTTTAAAAGGATAGAGACTGATTTTAAGTATTGTTCACTTTTGATAAATTTAAAATTACTTCTACTAGAACATATGTAAATATAATGAGATTATGAAGGCCATCTTACACAGCAGGTGTCTGAATACAGAAACCAAAAGGGCCCTTTCCATGGGCCCCTTCCTTTTCTCATGTGTGACATGTACAGCAATATCCAACATTGATGCTTCATTATCCTGGTTCAGTTTCAATTCGGATTTCTCATTTCATTTACAAAAATCTGCTGTTATTCCACTTTTCTTAAAATTCTCTGATAATTGTGAAGCTGCCCGTAAAACTTGCATGATCATATCTTTTCTGAAAAGTTACAACAGACCACATTCTTATGGTTTCAACTTCTCTTGCTAGTAGATGGCTAGGTGGTCCCAAAATTATTTCAAACTGTGGTTGGTAAAACATGGAGCAAATGCATTAACATTTCAATGCCGTGCATCTGTTCAAGAAGCAGTGAGAACATATCATATACACACACCCATAAAGCACCAAACTTACAAATATACAATGGACAAATTTAGCTTTCTTCTGAATACCAGAAAAGAAAAGGAAACAAATCCCTGTAATAAACTCTGTAGTACTGAGCTCTCTTTGTCATAAGCAAGAGAAATGAGTAATTACACAGGCACCATATAATATGAATTCTCATCCTTAACAAACAATAAATTACTTCCACATAGGCCAAATCAGTTGAGGGAAGACTGAAAATCAAAGTCTGAAGGGCAACATCAAATTTATATTCCATAAAAAGACTGAAATTACAAGTATTGCTGCTTTGTGCAGTAAAGGTTTTAGATGGAGGAAGGTGGGGAAAACATTCTCAAGACATCTTTCCTCTAACCACAGCACCACAATCTTAAAGACAGCCTTGAAATGGTATTTTAGCTGGAGTATTAGCTCCTTGCACAATCAGATTTCCAGACTGGAAACCCTAAAACAACTAAACAAGCATCATTTTGAAGACTGAAGGAGGCCAAAGCATGAGTGTATATGTACGTGTGTACATACATATATATTGAGAGAAAAATCCCTCAGAAACTTGAGGTGATCCAGTCTCCTTTAACACTTTGGTGGTTTGAAAACTGAAGTACAAGTTGGTGCAGAATTTCATGCACTTCCATGCCTGTTTTGCTTTACTGTGACTAGTGGTGAAGGATAAATTAAATTGCACATCAGAAAGGGATAACACTAAAAGCCAACAAGCAGAAAACTTCGACACTCAGCACAGACATTATCCTCTGTTTTCAGCTGGGTTTGATGATGATCAGGGAAAGTCATACACCACTTTCCAGCTGCTGAATGTCCATCTATCTTGAACAACTGTATGTGCATTGCAAATATTCTCATTTTAAACTTTGGAGAAATTCTGGAATTAGATACATGGCTGAAATCTGTGGAACAAATACTTTATTCAGAGCACTACTAACTTCTCCTTGGAAAGTTCTGACACTTTGTTAATTCCCAGATGTGTGAAAGCAAAATGGAATTTCCAGAGCCACCCAGACAATTTTAGATATGGCTAGCCTTAAGGAAGGCTTAATTTACTTTTATATAAGGAACATTTTAAAATATACCATTTTCTCTCTTGTAAAAGAGAGGGCAAATCTGAGTGCTGAGTGAAAGTGTCACTCTTCTGATAGATGAAGTAGAGTTTTTTCTGGGTCACAATTCCTCTTAATAGAATAACCACTAGCTACAAACCTACAAACACAAAATCCACGAACACAAACAGGAATTCTCACTATATTGAAATCTAAGTCCCACAACAAGCTTCCCATGGCCACATGAAAAGCTCACTAACAGTATACAGTAATTGTGGCATTACCCATATAGCCTTATTTCCCAAGTGATCATATGAAAATTTAAAAATCCAGTGTTACTAGGTAATTTCACTACCACCTCTGTAGTGCCATTGCTTATCTAGAATGCCTAAAGGCAAAAAGAAACTCCAGGTTTTCCCATCCTTTACTTTCTTCACATCACATTACTGCACATATACATACAAAATGACAATGTTTTTATCTACCTGCTCTCACATTATCTCTTTCAAATGCTAAAAGACAAGTATGAAACTAATATCTAAATGGAAATACCAGTTATTCTGTAAAAGAAAGACAAACAAGGTAAAAACACGGTGTCTCTATGTCGTTCATCTATGCCTTCCTTTAGTTGAAAACCATTTTTTGCATCCCTGCTTCACATTGAAACAAGAATTTTTATTTATGCCACAGCACCAATGCAGAAGAGAACAGATAAGGTTGTGTTGAAGTTTTATCACTGAGTATATTAAGAAAAATGTTACAAGGTTTACTAAGCACTACTGAACTTTCATAGAGAGTAAGTCAAAGGTTTGAAGAAGGATGTCCCACTGTATTCCTCACACATTGTTCACATTAAATGATCCAGAAATGAGACAATGAACTATTGAATCTTTGTCATATTTATTCATTCTCATTCAAGAGGGGGAAATATTTGTTCCTTCTCATCCCTTATCAAATTCATCACACATCTTCAGTATATCTTTTGCTAGGTACAGCTAAGGATGGAGCTAAATGTACTTGTTCCAGCTGCAACAACCCTCTGTTATGCACCATTTCCCCAAGTCCACCAATATTATCTCCTGGACAGAGGATAATATCTGCT